AGTCCATTACCCTCTGCCCAAAACAGTTCAACTGACATCATCCTCATGAAGTCTGTTTCTAAGATGGGGCCTATATCAGTAATTGGTAATTTTGGGGGTCTTTAGCACAGCTCTAGCAGAAATACACAGCTAAAGAAGTGTGAGAAAAAACATGTTTTAGTGTGGGAAATGGGCCTGCAAAACCTAAATCTGGAAGAGGATTTAAGAGCCAGTGACAACAAAGAAAGCATAGTATTTTAGTTAATTGACTACATTTTACTTAGAAAATGCTCTTTAAATTTTATTTACATAAAAATGACAAGCACTGAATCACAGCAGAAGAAAAGATTCTTCAGAATTGCAAATGTTTGCAATCTTCTTTTGGCAAGTTCAAGCTAATAATCTTAGCTTTTAATACAATCCTATGATAATTTTTATTTTACTCTGAAAATAAACAGTTTTTTTAATATCGTTACTGGACAACTGAAAATTAGCATTTTAAATGCATTTTTTCTCTTCTCATCATGGAAATTGACCCTTTCCTGAGGTTCAGGGGGTGTGTGCACACATTCAAAGGAAACTAGCTTCTGCTTAACCATGAAATGTAAGGAAACTATAATTCTGTGTATTTCCAATGTCCGTGGAAATTTTTCACAACTCTGGCTAAGCCAAAGAGGTTTTCTATGAAGGACAAAGATGTGCTAATCAGCAGTAATGGAAATGAAAGAAAGAATTTTGTGGGTCACACTGTCTGCAGATTTTAAGTGTTGTCCAGTGGTCCTCAGAGAAAGAAAGAAGAGTTCAGGAAGAACACTTGTACCACAACAGTAGTAACATTTTGCACCATCTGTAATTAATAAAACAAGCAAGAAAGTGTAGCTACGTAACTAACCCTGACATTTATAATGAAAACAGAGAAGAGTTTCATCTTTTTATCTGTATCTTTTTAATGACTGACACCATCTACAAAGAAGCTGTATTATGAGAAAATAATCTAGTGCCAAACAATCAGAGTCTCACATTTTCTCTGAGCTGCAGATACATTTTATGCATCAGATGAGTCTACATACTGACCCACAATCGTACAAAAAACCTTCCCCAAGCCCACCTCCTCACTCCACTTCTTGGGAATGTTTTAGTATCAGGGACAGTGGCAGAGAAGTGAGATATTTCTACAGCTGCATCCAATGTCCTCCTCATTGCTTCTTGCTTTTCATACTTCTTTCATGGGAGGAAGGCTTTCTGGTTTGTGCTGGTATGACAAGAACACTTGTATCAATATGATAGTATGTTCATGATAGTGTTCAAGTCAGAGCAACTAAACTAAACTATTTCTGACACTATAGCCTTGTTTTTCTTCAGTCATATCTGTTTATTTCTTTCTTTATCAGGGTTTCTAATTAAATCAAAGAATTAAGAGGAATTATATAAAACTATATGTAGATATACTCCTTTATATTCTATGTCAGCTCATACTCCCACGCCCAATTAGGAGCAGGCTGTATTGTTATTCACCAGTGTTGCAAAAGTGCTCTGGAAGTGCTTTTGCTGTGTTTCTGAAATCAGATCAAAATGCCAATATGTATTTTTAACATCACTTTGTAAAAGAAGAATAAAAGGAACACAGCTCTCTACAAAACTGAGCCATGACAGTAGGAGTCCTTTTGCATCATTTATCTAATACAACAAAATTCATTTTAGAAGTTCAGCATATTTTAGATTTTGAGCTAGTCTAAGAACATACGAAGATGATTTCCATGTTTCCTCAAATGTGTGTTCTGTATCTGGTCCTTTGCTGCTTCAGCAAGCTCTCAGCAGAAGTACATTGAATAGCTAAAAGGCATCCTGTCTTGCTGTACATCATTATGGAAATAATATTGAGTAGAATCTCCAGGCTATTAAATTTACTTTTTTATTGAAAACTATGATTTATCTAAAAGAAAGTAACTCTGCAATGAATATGATCTGCATTTCTCTGATCAGATGTTTTGGATTGCACTAGTTTGAAGTGCTACCTTGAACTTGGCAGAAAAAGTAGCCTAGTTTTCAAGGTACCTATTCTGTCATTCATCCATAGGTAGGTAAATAGTTAGTGTTCATGTCTGGGTTTCAATACATCCTGCTTTATTATAGCACCTGCCACTGAAGATCTCAAAAGCAATTTGTGAGCATTAATCAGCTGAGCCTCGTGACTATTCAGCCACTATGTTATTGCACAGACTGGTAAACAGACGTGCAAACATATCAGACTTCTCAGTAGGGCTGTAAGAGATAACCAGGGGATTTGTCTTCCTCTTTGTCACCTAGAGTAGGACTTTTCTGTCTGTTGTTTCACCTAGAGGGGCACAGAAAGCAGCACTACTAAGGGAAGCAGACTGGTCCCAATACTCCTGCCAGCAAAAGATACTGAGCAAAGAAATGTGTTTTAGTCCAACCACTACCAGTTAAAATTCTTATTCCCTTCCCTGCCACTGCTGTTGGCACAGTGTACTGGACCTTGCCAGCAAGCTGGAACCAGCTAACTCCTGGAAATGGCTGTTGAAAAGCTATTGAAAGATCTGGTTCCTCAGGGCTACAAAATCCTAATGCAGTGTGGCTGAAGCCAGGGAGGAGTTACAGGCCACTCTGTTATTCTTTGCAGGCTGGGCATGTCCCACGTGTTGCCAGCTAAAAAACTGAAGTAGACCAGTTTACTCCCTCACTGATCTTTCCTTATCCAACCTCTCCACGTTTTTGCAGTGATCGTATTTTCTTAACATGGCAAAGGCTGAAACATCGTTATGTCTGGACCTAATGATCTAATCAAACTAGGTTTAATGAACTTAGCTCAAGTACCAAGAGTGGGAAGATGCAGGCTTCAGTGTAGGCTATGCAATCCCACCAGGACACCCAGGCAAGCCCGCTGCACTACTGCAACTCCACTGAGAGTGGTATTGAGTCAGATGCCCTGGCCACGCACAGCTGTAATCACACCTGCTGACGGCTGTGTCTGCACCTTTACAGCAGGAGAGAGCCTCTAGCCTGAGGAATTCACAGTTTAAACAGACAAGGCAAAGAAACAAAATCAGAAATCACAGACAAAACTGAGAGTGGATATGTGGAGTCCAGCAAGAATGGTAAGTGTGAAAGATATATGTCCAAAATCAAAAGCTGCCAACTGCTTTTACTAGCAATGAAAGCTCTGCCTTGGAGAGAGCAGAGGCAGAAAAGCTGAAGCTAAGCTCACAAATTGAGTGTTTGTCCCTCTTCCCTTCAGTGACTCCATGACATGTTATCATGTCATTCTTGTAAATGTTTCAAAGAAAAGTTTTTGAACAATAGTGCTTTGCTATAGTCCCTGCTGTTGGGAAGGGCTATACAAGCATCGGCCATACACTCCTCAAATAAAATTCAACCAGAGCTTTTGTTTACACGGTTTGTCCTTAAAATCAGCACTCAGCTGCAACTTTCGGCCATAGCTGCCTTATTAAAAATGAACCTTTTATTTTAAACACAGTACATTTTATAACAGGAAAATCAATATACAGTAACCCAGAGTACTGCAGACAACAGCTGCAGGACATAATCTGATGACAGAAAGTTGAGAACAGTATTTTGGCAGTTACATGTTCAGCTAATCTTTCACACACTGTTTTTAATGGCACCAAGCTATAAAGATCTGAGATTTCTCTCCACCTGGTGACCCAAAGCTACACAAAATGAAGAGACCAAGAAACCACTGTTTTCAGCAATAAAGGCTATTAAATAAAAAATAAATCAGTTGTTACTTATTTTTTTCCTTTATAGGATACTGTAGGTCTTCCCAAAGCTGTTAACAATGAGTTAACAGCAGTCTCAGTGATCTCACAGCCCTTAGCAAAGACATAGGAAGATACTTAAGCATAAAGAGTACCTTGAAAGGACTACTAAATACTTTTCACTGCCCTCCCTTTGGCTGTGGGTAAGGGTGCTCAGCTCTGTTCAAGGCTGGGATTCACAATGCACCTATGCTTAGAAAAGTTATCTAGGTAGAAAAGAGGAGATGAAGCCACAGATGTGCCTGGTACACAGGAGTATAGAACAAACATAAAGATCAATAGAGATTTTGATTTTGATCATCTGTTACTTCTTTGTTATTAACATAAAGTTTACAATTAGAAACAAACTACTCCATGTATGTTTTTATGCCATCGTCAAATACTGAATCTATTAATAAACTAGGATTTTTGGAACCTACCTACATGTCCTTAGAAGGTGGGAGATGATTAGTTCTCTAAAATGGCATGTGATTCACTTCGACTACAAAATAAATACATTTCCTTGGTGAGCAAAAGGCAAAGGGCGCTAGATCATTTCGTACTGAAATTGCGTTTTTCACCACATCCCACCAAGTATATTTTTCTCAGATAATAAAACTGGCTTTTTAAAGGTTTCCAATCCAGATTTATGTGGCAAATGCTTTAATTAAGATTGATAGATTCCATTTGTTTAGCTTTCAGACCTTGATATGGAAGTTTTAACTTGAACTGCATTGCCCTCTAGCGCCGTGACGGGGCCGGCCGCGGTGATGTCACCAGCACGGGCAGCGTGAGCAGAGGCAGCCACTTCATGCAGAGCTGCCTAAATGCTGACAAACCCTTCGTGGAGACGCATGTCACGGCAGCTAGGCAGGGGCATCCTTCCAACAGAACCACAGTGCACAAGGGAAAACAGTAAACCTGTCTTTTATTTCAGGGACATCATGATCAAAACAGCTACTTTTGAGCTCCAGCCAAGACTTCTGCCTGCTAATTTCTGTTTAAACGAGTTCGCATGAGAAATTAAGCAAGTTCGAAGAGCCTATTATTTCTGACAGGCTTCAGAGGACTTCACGCTGTGCAAGTTTTACATGCTTAGAGCTGACAGCTTGCTGGGGAGATGAGTTCTCAATCTAAAACTGGCTGGGGCTTTGCAGCAACTTCTTTGGTAAAGAGATAACTTTCAACTGAACTCAAACCATCTGCGTGTTGTGCAACGGATCCGATCGTAACTTGCTATGGAGGATGATTTTTAAGATGAATACCTACCTCGGCGATAAATCCAATTCATCAATATCTGGATATTTGAAAGTGTCTGCACTAAATAACGGCAGTCTTTCTGCAAACAACTCCAATGAGACAGCAAGCAATCTGGATTCACCTGCCTTGGATATCAGTAGGGCGATAATTGTGGGGCTTATCCTAGGTGCCTTTATACTCTTTGCTATTATAGGTAATATCTTGGTAATTCTCTCTGTTGCTTGCAATAGACATTTAAGAATCCCTACAAACTATTTCATAATTAACCTTGCAATAGCAGATTTGTTGCTGAGTTTTACTGTCCTTCCATTCTCTGCTACACTGGAAATCCTTGGCTACTGGGTTTTGGGGAGGATATTTTGCGATATCTGGGCAGCAGTTGATGTGCTATGCTGTACAGCTTCTATTTTAAGTCTATGTGCAATTTCTATAGATAGATATATAGGGGTGCGTTATTCTCTCCAGTATCCAACTTTGGTAACAAGAAGAAGGGCAATTTTAGCTCTCCTAGGTGTCTGGGTCCTTTCCATGGTGATTTCTATTGGGCCTCTTTTGGGTTGGAAAGAACCAGCACCCAAGGACGATAAAGAGTGCCGTATCACTGAAGAACCATTCTATGCTTTGTTTTCTTCCTTGGGGTCATTTTACATTCCTTTAATCGTCATACTCGTGATGTACTGTCGGGTCTACATAGTGGCAAAAAGGACTACTAAAAACCTGGAAGCTGGGGTTATGAAAGAAATGTCCAACTCCAAGGAGCTGACTTTAAGGATCCATTACAGGAACATTCACGAGGACACATTGAACAGCACCAAACCCAAGGGTCACAATCCCAGGAACTCCTTAGCTTTCAAACTTTTTAAATTCTCTAGAGAAAAGAAGGCAGCCAAGACGTTGGGAATTGTGGTTGGCATGTTTATCTTGTGCTGGCTACCTTTCTTCATTGTTCTGCCACTAGGTAAGTTGGTAATCACGGCATTGCAAGGGGAAGGGGAGGAAGAGGGTTAGTTGTTTACTACAAAAATATCATAGAAAAAAATCAGATGAATGATAAGTAGATATCATTTTGAGAACTGCAGTGAACAGATGAAAGGAAGTGAAAGTAACTTACTTCTGATGTTGGCCTTTTCAAAGAGTCATGCTGAAGCTTTGTAAAGTGTGCAGCCTGCAGAAAGTCTGCTCATCCTGTAGTCTTTCTCAGTGATGGGGCAGCTGTCAAATCAGGGGACAATATCTTCAGAGTTTATATATTAAATCCCCCTTTACGATCTTTGTTTGAATTGAATTAGCTTTCAGAAACATTTTACAGGATGCTTTAACAAAAATCCTAGGTAAGAACACAAAAAGAATTTCAGCACCGAAAGGGTCTTGTTTTAGTTTACTGTTAGATGTTCAGACTATAACACAGTAGGTCTTCTGGCATTATTAGGTGTCTTAAATGGAAATGAACCTGATCTAATGATGAGGTGCAAAACTCCCCTGAGCTTTGGGAAGCTGAAAAAGTTCTAGTTCTCAGTTCAGACATCACTGATCAAATCCCAAAAGCAAACACATGAAGCCCACTGATGCCCACAGAAAAGTTCTTGTTGGTTTCTAATAGGTCTTAGTTCAGGCATTTCGAGAGATTGCCATGGGAGCTTTTGGCAGCCACTTCGTTCACTTTCACCTTTAAAATATTATTAAAGCATTTGATGTAGATTTAACACAGTGCTCTGTGTTCCCAAGTCCTTGTGAAATGTGCTTGTGTTGTCTTTCATACTAGCACTACCTCTGAAGCAGCATATCTCAAGACATTGAATTACTAAGCTTTCAAAAATATCTGTCCAAAATTAATTTCTCTGAGACACAGACAATCTGGCAGCCTAAATATGGAAAGAGGTGGAAAAAGAAAAGGGAGAAAAAGCCATTATTAATGTTCTGTATTCGTGTTTACTTAGTTACCCTACCAAAACATTTCTAATTGATTGGTAAGCGAATATTTTTAGACACTGTTGTAGAAAACTAAATTGAGTTCAGCAACCTGGTCCTGGTGAAGTGTTATAAAATTATAATTTCAGTGAATATGTAATATCATTTAGACTAGAATCTTTACTGCAAGACAACTACTTAATCTATTGCAGGGCAACTCTCTAGCTTCTTTTAACATAAGCTTAAAAATCTTTATGATTCAAGATCTGCATAAAGCTAATGTTAAGGATGTGAAAAATTCCAAACAGAAGGAAAATTGTGGGCAAAAGTTCTTTGGCTACTGAAGTTTAAGTCCTTGTGCTGGCTCTTAAATAAAGTTTATAACATAGAGCAAGTTTCCAACTATTGCAATAATACATATCTATGGATAATAATATATTTTCACCATATGGTACCAGTAGTAGTACTAGATATGTAGCTAGTAGGTCATAATCCCCTGATAAAGTAGATTACCTCCTTGATTTTGAATTATTGAAGGAAATTTGGAGGAAAAAAGCAAATGTGAGTGCAGTAGAGCATATCCTTAGCTAGCAGAAGCCAGTATAGCTAGTGACGCTGTTCAATGAACACAGATGCAGACCAGTCCATTAAAAACATTATGGTCACAGGGCAGAAGTAATGTGAGAAACAATTAATTTTCTTGAAAGAATGCCAGTTTTCCCTTTGAGAAGTTATTTCAAAACTCCTGGTCTTTCCTGGGAGGCTTAATGAGTCATTGCTTAAGACACCTGACATTATCATTCTTCCACTCTGGCATTTCAATATATTCCACAGCTACCCATTTTGATATCCCAGACAAAGGATTATTGCATCAGGTGGTGGATATGTATTGGGAACTGGTGCCGTGCTGAAAGTGGGGATATTGCTTGAATAAATATTCCATGACAAAGGAAAAGAAATAATATTAACACTTACAGAGTGTTTTTCAAGCGGGAATCAAAAGGCTTTGCAAGGAAAGCGTTCTGACAGAGCTCTGTGTGCAGCTACAGAGAGGAATTAACAGCACGGACACTCTGATGATCAGCATGAAGAATGACCCACAATCTCTTTTTGTAGGATTGAACCATGCTGCCTTTAGTGTTAAGCACCTGACGATGCAGCAAAACTGGTATCAAAGAGTTTGGTTTTATTCCAGTAGCTATCAGATATTCTTTCCAGATAGCAATAGAGCTATAGAATATCCTTGTTGCAGGCATTCATAAATGCTCCACGGCTTTGTAAACAGTTGCCTTGCCACTCAAAATTATTTGTGGTACAGCATAAAAGATAAAATGAAGACATACATGTCTTTGAGACCACTTCTTGTGCTATAAATTCAGTGACTCAGCTTTGAAGAGTAAATATCTTACTGCTTTAAAATAAATGTTTCTTTTCTTCCCCCTTCATATAAATCCTTTCTTAGGTGTCAGGACTATATTAAATATGCATTGCTGAAAAATGCTGAGTAAAATAGGTGATTTTTATCTAAAGACTAGAGCCCTGAAGAAATAAGGTAACACTCATTAAAACTCCCTCCTTTAAACAAAGGAATATCCAATTTTATGCTGATACCTTTATTAAAAAAAAGAATGCAAAATTAAGGATCATATGTTTCCCCCTGCCTACTAGGTAAAAGTTTAGTCTCATTCCTGTTAAATGAGATATCAGACTGGGCTTGTCAGTTTTCTCCCAGACTCAGACCTCACACAACACACACACACACACTCATGTCAAAGGGAAAACTCACCACCTCCACTACTTTAGCCAAAGCATACTAACTTCCCCAGCCTATTGCTTAACTCCAGTGGAGATCAGCAGAGCATTATTCACTTCCCAGTTCAGAGCCCAACTCCCCCTGCTCCCACAAAAACTGTGATCTTATCCACTAAAGTCAGAAACAAAATTCTTGCAACTTAACTGGCAGCGGGATAAGGTCCCAAGAGCCTCATAATGAAGATACAACTGTTTTGACTATCCTTATATATTAAGTTTTTGAAAGCTCTCTATAAAATAATAAAAAAGAATATAAAAATATTCTGCATGCTACAGGTCAGCCAATATGAAATTATTCTTAAAATAAAATGTTATTCAAGCACAGTATGTAGATTTATGTTACATCAGGCCAACCTCTTCATCTCTGCACCAAGAATACCAAATTAGGCTACTTAGTTTCCCATGGGAAATACTTCAAGGTATTAGGTCCAGTGCTGCCCATGCTACTGGGTTATGCTCTCTGCAAGGCTTTAGGCCTGGTTTGTCTTTCGTCTCATTTTGATCTTGTCCCCTCTTCCCCTCTCTAACTAGCCTAGCTCTCTAGATTTGATGCCCTCAGTTAATAGTTATACAGAATTTGGACAAATTAATGATATATGTGGTAATCTGACCCTCTGCCCACTTGCAGGTCAATCTCTGGTACAATGTTCAATTGCACAGGTGATAGCAGGAACCTGCTCCTCCTATTTTCTAGCCAATTCCTGTAAAACTAAACATCATAAGGACATTTCTTGACCAGTACAGCATGTTTTGTCACACGCAGAGGACTAGATTATTTCAAGATGATTCATTTTGCTACTAAAATAGCCTCCCTTAAGCCTAAGCCCTTTGGTTTGCAAAGGATGCCAATTACCAGTTACTTACAGATTTCTGTGTTGTAGAACAAAGTTTTTTGTTATTAAAGCAGATGAAACTGCACAAATTCTGAAGGACTGGGTACTTCCTATATAGGCTTTTGATTTGCAGGTCAGACGAACAAAGAGAAATCTTAAAGTGTACAGTCTTACAAAAGCAAATACGTAAAGCAATACAGAAAAAGGTGAATACACAGAAGTTGACTCATGGTGACCATTCAACCTCAGGCATGGCAGCAGCTCCTATCTCAGGTGATCAGAAAGCTCCAAGGAAAAAAGAATTCAGGACTGAGCCACTGGGCAGCAATAGGGTATCTCAAAACTACTGAAATCCAAGACAGGAGAGAAGTGATAAATTCAGAGGGAACAATGCTTTCAGCATCCAGCAAGGCAGTGGACGCAAGGTCTTTATGCCAAAGGCACATGCAAACACGTGCTATCGCTCGGTTGGTAGTCATGATGAAAGCACTGAGTAAAGTTATACATGTGCATATGGTCCTAAAGCATTGAGGCCATACCTCAGGAGTTCAGCTGCACGTTCTTTAGTGTACCTATCTGTGACATACAGATATGAACAAAAAGTGACGAGTTTTTTAGTATTGTCACTAAAGTCATGCTCCATAGCCCATTGCAAGATTTTGAGCTATATTGATGGGCTTTCAAGTCATACCTAGAAACTGAAAAGCAATAACCATCAGTCTTTAAAAGAGAAAAAAAATAATGGACGTTCATACAATATCTTTGTAGCTGTGTTATTCAATCCCATGCTAGAGTCCTATTATTTACCAATGATATCCAAGATAGATTGCCTCAGTTATAAGTCAGAAGTGAGAAGGGGAGAAAAAGACACCAAAGCATGTCAGTAATTGAAGATATTTAAATATAATAAATGAAATGTCAGCAGACTTAGATTAGCTTTTCTTGACTCCCTTAATCAGCTAATCCTTTGCAAAACAAGCATAAGCTTGGCCCATATTCTTTGTAGTTAGCAAACTGCAAAAGTCTGTAACTCTTCTGGACAAAATAATAATAATACCATGTTGCTGTTCCTATCTACTGTCAGTTTTACAGTACCAAACAAGAGTCTTACTAAAATTCATTTTGATTTTATCATATTTATGTGAGGGCAACACAATTTAAACACAAGTGAATTCTCTCCATGGTGTAAGTCATCATAGCTATTCTGGACTGAGAGGTGGTAGACTAGTATATGTAAGGATATATAAGGTTTGTGTCAAAAAGGTAAGTGCTTGACGGAATTTTTCGATATTTTATGTATTTTCCATATCTTGTATCTCCATATTTTGTTATTTAAGACACACTTGGAATTTTTGCTAATATGACAACTATGGATGGGGCATGAAAAACCTTAATCCTGTTGCTT